GTACTCCAGTATTTCCTAAAGGCTTTCATTTATTTACCACGATAAAGCTGTGCAAGATCCTTAGGACCTTGAGTCCTTTGATTTTTGGCAAAAAAATGGTATTAATGTGATGTGATAATGCTCCTTATGTCCTCATGATGAGAAATATTTGTTATATAAAATATTCTTTATTGAACAATGGAGACGTTATTAAGTAAACCCAGTGTAGTGACAACAGCAAACGCTCAATGCAGGGTTTTCCGCGTGCCTGCACTCTCACATGCCCTGCAGACACGATCTTTCCAAACCTGGGGTTCATGAAAGAGGAAGAAAAGAAGTGTTTAAAAGCCAAAGAAGATTGGGAGCCACTGAACTAGGTCTTCAGTTTCAGCTCAGCGTCTGATGCAGAAGTAAAAACATTCTGCTCTGAACAGGGAGTTACAGTTCTTCCCAGGAAAAACTTCAATAAAGGAGACTTCTCTCGCTTGCCGCCTTTGAATTTGGTTCTAGCCACAGTTTCACACATTCCTAGGTTGAAGTTTTGATCTGTTTAAACCCTCCAGTGTTTTTGCATTTCTCTTGCTACGTGTAGGGGGGTTGGATGCAGTTTAACAAAATAAAATAATCCTTAGGCGGTAAACACTTTCATGAAACCATCACACAGGGCGGTTGCATCCTTTGTTGTTTGAATCGTGTTCTCTGATCTGCCACGGTTTCAGTCAGGGCTGGTCTATCCCTTCAAGATAAGAAGTAGCTGTTTAATAGTTCAGATTTAAATATTACCTGTTTGTGAGATATTAAACCAGATACTTCTTCATACATACTCTCACAATGCTCTGAGAAATGCGGGATACTATCCCCTTTGACAGATGGGGTAACTGAGGCCCAGTAAAGTAAATACTTAGTATTTAAGTGCTCACCAGCATCCTCAGAATGGAAGCTGTTAAATTCCAGGCAGCATGGACTGTGTCCCTGATTTTCCTAATTTATTCCTTAGCACCAAATGGGCCCACAATGAATATATGAGTGAGGAATAAATGACTGACTGTTTAATTCAAAGTCTATCCTCTCTCCACTGTGCCATGTTTCCTCTGAGATTAGCCTGAGATATGCTCTGTTCTTACGTGAAGAAATAACTGCTCCTGGCATAAAGAAGGTTAGTTGGAGAAGAAGGAGTTATCACAAATCTGTGATTAGTAGGAAGGGGTGATCAGAATTTTGCATTTGAATATTAACACGTTTTTACTGGTGCCACCAAAATTCATCTGCTAGTTCTGGAATATTTTTCTTCCCAGATAATGACTTCCCATAAAATGCAACTCCCTTGAAGCAAAATTATTTTCCTTTTTTGGTTTGTTGTTAATGCAGTTAGTTGTTGATGTTTTATAGTGTAAAAATATGCTTAGTGCAAACCCCAACCAAAATCACCAGGAAGTTGAAGGCAGAAGACCCATGCAAAAAGTCATCCTTAGGGCAAAACTACTCCACTGCACCCGTACATTTGTTGACCACATTGTCTTAAACCTTGGAATTGTAGATCTAATGATTCCTTTGTCTCTGAAAAAAAAGTATCAAAAGAATTACAACATCCAGTGACTTGCAAGCCTTTCGCTCACCTCAGCATTGCAGAGACTTCCATCCTCCGGGAAATACCGCCCAGCGATTGCTGGAGAAAATGGCTCTATTGATTGAGAACAATGGTTTGTTTTAGCTTAGCAAATACAGTTTGAGGTTAATTACCAGAAATGGTGGGTTTTTCTTTCAGAGTTTATAAACTCCCGGATATTTATAAAACTAAAAGAATGTGTGTTATTTAACTTTGTAACCAAGTTTATTCAGTAAGCCTTTTTCGGTAACTATATAAATATCTGGCTCCAGAGACCAACAAAGACATTACAGCTTCAGATCTGTACATAGTGCCTCTCTTAGAAGTACTATATTAGAGTGCTTAAAATTAACTTTAAAAAAAAAAGTCATTTGGAGAAATACATAAGAAAATCCCTTGTTTTGAAAACTTCATGTATTAGCTAAAGTAAAATCTTTATACCAGAGAGTGATAAACTTCTTTTGAGTTGTGAATCCTTTTATGATTCTGATGAATATTATATACGTGGTCCTACAAAATGGAAATAGACACAAAATTTTACATACAATTTTTAAGGATTCTCTACTCTCGGAAGCTCATCCATCTCAGTAAACATTGCTTCAATTTTTCAGGCACAAGCCTACTTGGACTGAAAATTGTTAATTAGTTAGTGAATTAATTAACTTGTCTGTTTTTCTAGTTAACCCCTTTCTTATTACCTTCATCTGGGTACAAGTGCCCAGAAGCCAGAGTGACACAGCATTTGGGAAAAGTTACTGTAGCAGCATGGCAGTGGGTACCACGCCATGGTTCCACATCTTTCTCTTTTTATTGTTAAAATATAGCAGTTGGCATTGTTTGCTTATGTGGAGTGACCTGCCATGGGCTTCTGGTCATTCAAGTGTATGCTTTCCTCTGGAAACTTATTTGAAGCCATATTCAGGAAACAAAAAGGAACTGGACCTGGAAGGCAGTGATAGAACCTCTGGGCACCATTCTTGCCCTTCCCAACTAGTTCCACAGTGATAATCACTTAGCTGAAACAGTCTGCATATCAGTGCCTTTGCTACCCAGTATCCATCATCGCAGAGGCCCTGTGTGATGCAAAGAACTTAAAAAATACACACCTATCTCAGGGATCTTATAAGTTAGAGTGAGGAGAACTATACCTGAAACAGGGAGTAAAACAAGAAAATAGTTAATTATTCAGTATTGACACAGAATAAAGAAACAGATTGATATGTGCTAATTGATACTAATATCAAGTATAGAATTACATCAATTAAGATGCCAAAGAGGACAGTGTGGTGGAATCCTGAACTAGAATTATCATGAAAACTTTTCCTGAGGGAGAAAGACCTTGAGAAATAGGTCGGATTTAAGTATGGTTCAGAATGACCTGCACCAGAATCACCAAAAGTTATTTGTTTTTTAAAAAAATATACTCATTACTGGGCCCTACCTCTGTCCTGTGAAATCATAATTTCTGGTTTGGGGGTCTTGGCTGTCTGCAGTTTAACACCTCAGTTGTTTTTATGTACACGTACATGTTTGTGCGTCCATGGAGGGGGGGTGCGTGGGAACCCCCCACTATGGATACACATAATGAAGAGAGAAAGCATTCCTTACTATCTAGCTAAATAATATTAAATAATAAAATACTTTGGGCTCTTTGTGAACTTATGAGATTTTCATTTAGTGACTTCTACCAGGCTGTACCCTTTGCTGAACCTAATAGAATGAACAGATGAACAGCTGGTATTTCTGAAATTGTCATTTAGGATTCCATTTTAGTACATAGTTCCAAACATTTGGTTACTTCCTGCCAAAAAAAAAGTGGTTCAAATAATGTGAGTTCTTTCATGTACGTGTAAGTTACACACACATATACATAATTCATCTTGATTTTTACTGAAACTTACGCAAAGTGTTGGTAGCTTTATATTGCCAGACTTCATAGAAATGAAGCAAGGAAAGGAAAGAATTGTACAGTAAAATGAGTTTTATGTATATTTTTTTCCATAACTGCAAGATCCTGGGTAGAATTTGAGGGCCACCTAACTCTGATGCCCAAGAGGGGTCCTGATGAAAATTCCAATTTACTGTTGCTCAGTAGAGAACATTTTTTAAAGTGATCTAAATCCTTCTTCTGATTATACAGGGATTTCTTCCCTCAAGAGAAAAGAGAAGGGAACTTACTTTTATTGAGGCTCTACTAAAAGTGTTTGGTCCTTTATGTCATTTATCTCATTCAAACCCAAAACAACTCAATAAGGGAAGTTATATGTTTTTAAGTCATTTTCATAGATTAAGGAACTAAAGCTGAAAAGTTGAATGGCTTGTGTAAGGTCTTCTGGGTGTTAAGTGGCAAAGGCAGAATGTTACTCCTCCTCAAGGGCCTTGTTTTCTCTGTTCAGCAGTCAGCCAGGAAAGTTTATTCTATCAGCTTTTCTGTTGTTCTCTCACATCCAAAATCTCTCAAGTTTTTAGCTGCTTTGCCAACTGCTTCTGGCTGAGTCTGTCTCCACCAGCTTATAAACTTGACGATTTTCGCTGCCCACATTAGGCAGTTGGTGGAGGACAGGAATACTCCCAGACACTCCTGCCCATGAGAGGAAAAAAAAAAACCTGCCAACTCATATCTCTTACTCAACACAGTAGCAGTTTCTTGTGAGTAAACACTTCTCAAGTTGTTGCCTACCTTTGGTTCTCCAGTGCCCTGAAATGATTGTCATTAATAATTTTGTCCAGTGCATAGTCATTTTCTGTGGAGAATAATCTGAGCCTCTCATGATGTCATTAGCAAAAGTGGAGTCCACAGGATTATTCTGAGGATAAAGAAGAGTAGTGTACACAATGCGCTGGGTGCGGTGGCTGGCACGTGGTAAGTGCTCGATGAATGACAGCTCTTCCTGTTATTGTTATTAATACTTAATAGATCCTAGACCCCTCATTCACTTCCTGGAACAGAGCTTCCAAAATATGTGCCGAGAAATCAGTCTTATCAACCCTCAGGTTGCCTGTCACTTCCACCTCACCCAGATGAGGAAACAAATTCCTCAGCTGACTCAAGTGTCCCATTCAACTTTTATCATTTTCTATGTGTGCCATGATGTTTAGGAAGCACTGTTCGAGAGAACAGCCCAGAGTAAGGTCCCTATAGGCTGTTCTAGAACTGCTTTCAAACAGGTCTTTGGGGAACAAACCTTTTGAAGATCTTTTTTCAAAGTTCTCTAGAACAGGAACTCATCCATTCAACAGGTAATTTTGATGACTTGCAATGTGCCAGGCCCCTTTGCCCAACTGTCACTAATTCCAGGAGTAAACCAGAGATCCTGAGTCCACCATGGTACGTTCCACATTCTGTGAGTGTCCTATTTCTCCTGATAGTTTATAAACTAGGAGGTTAAAAATGGCCCTAATTAAGTTTGCTGGTTTTACCAAAGATGTACAGGGGGTGGTGGGAGGCATGAAGGGGAACTCTAGCAATAGGTCTGACTATCCCATCATTTATTCCCTGAGATAATGCTATAGAAAAAAGTAATCCTGGGGCACACAATTTACAAATGCTGATGGGAAATAGAAGGAGTTTCATTTCACAGCTCTTTGCTCGTTTGGGGCCAGTCTTTTCACAGTCGCCAGTGTGCTGACACTGTTGGCAGCCATCAGCCTCCATAATGAGAGATGGACAAAATGATGGTGTTCAGTCATCCTTGACATTTTTACTCAGGTTTCCACTCCTGCTTCTGTGAACTAGCCCCTTACCGGGGTCCTCTGTGCCCTGGGCATATGGATCTAGACTAACTGGTATGATTCTTGGTAAATATATACCTACTTTTACACCACCAGCATATTATCACTAATAAAGGTTACATCACAGAACTACTTTGAGTATGAATTTGCACTGATTATCTGTGCCACAGTTTGAATCAAAGAGGTCAACACTTTAATGGAAACCTGTGATTTAACGGTAGAGAAGTACACAAACTTCCCACTAATAGGACCTGTCGCTACTTAATAAACCCATCAGTGTAGGGTCGGCGTTCTGTGTGACACCTGCTTTCATGAAAAATAGCCTAGCATGCCAACTCTTGAAATAGTATAGCTAAGGAATACATGATGGATTCATAATAAGTTACAGCAAGAAAGATAAGTTTCACTGTTAAAAATCTTAATAGGGAAAAAAATGTTTACTATTCATCGCTAAAATACTTTACAGAACAGTTTCAGTAACAATGGTACAGTGGTGAAACGCATTATGTTAGACCCATGAAAATACATTATATTTTCAAGCAGCTGCCAGCACACAGTTCACACTTTAACAAGTGAAATATCCCTTCATCACACTCAGGTCTCACCACTCTCTTGTTCTCTAAATCTGCTTTTTGTTTCTGCCCAGGCATTTGCTAGGACAGAAAGATGATGTGTTAATTAAACAGCTCCAGCATAGTTCCTAAGGGGATTATTCTCTATCAGCCAAAAAAGCTTTGGAGTTGCTGCCAAAGGTTTGGGGCTTCGTTTTAATTTATCAGTTCGTGTTTCGGTCCCTGCAGGTAATATTTTCCTTGTAAAATGGGCCTGTACTGACACTTAGGTATTTTCACTGAAAGCCAGTTTCCTGGAGCCTGTTCAGCATTTCAGAGTGCTGTGTAGATAAAACATCAGATACGTTTAAAAATATAAGTCTGTGAAGTAACTTGGTAAAGCATTTAACAGCGATGTTTCTATCTTGAATTTAAATATCACAAACCATCCCAGCAGAGACATATACGAGGGGCACTGAAGGTTTACTTGTTTGTTGCTCATGACACAGATGGGGGCTGAGGGTGCTCTGTGCCAGAGTCACTCAGGGGTCCAAGCTCTTTTTGTCCTTTCTGTCATCCTCTCAGACCTCAGAATTTTGTAGCAGCCCCTCTGCACCCTTCAGCAAATGGGGGAAGAGAGGTGAAAGAGGATTTCAAGGGAAGTTCCAGGGGCCAAGTCTGAAAGAGGCACATTTCACTTCTACCTGCATGCCATTGACCAGACTGGTCACCCAAGGCCACCTAGATGTCAGCAGGTGAAAAACCTGGTCTGTAGTGTGGCAAAAAGGGAGTGCAAAGTAAGGATGCTGAGGAGCCGACTGATCCCAGGCGCAGGCATAGGGCTGTGCACTTGCGTCCACCTGTAATGTGGACTCTGTGTGAAGGTGTAGGAGGCCAGCGCGTTTTATTTCTAAACACTTGAGACAAGTATTTGGTTTGTATGTGAATTTCCTCCTGTTTTCTTTGTTTTTGTAAGATTCCTTTTTGTATTAAGCCACAAGAAAAAAGAAGGGACAAGTGCTTGCAGTTATCAGAATGTAATTTTCAAGTTAATGAACAGGGAATATGGTTTAGTTAGACCAGTGAATCATCCTTAATTATTCTGTTTATGAAAAAGTGACTGATACAGCAGATACATTGTGGATAAACTTGTACCAAACTAACCACGTGATACAGTTGTATTTGCCGTCTCAAGTTTGTATTCATTGGCATTTTGTTGTCCTTTAAATATATCCCACATTTGAATATGTATTCACATATTCCCTGCAAGCTCCTACGAGACATGTGACAGTGATGAGCTTATGTCTGAGGGGAATGATGTGTAAGACAAGCTTCTGATGTCAAGAACTATCTCATCTAGTGAGGGAAAACCAGAATTGCCTATCAAAAATTCATTTTTAAGAATGAAAAGTACCTGAACTTTTGAGCTTTGTTCTAAACAGCTGTTAGGTTACATGGGAAAAGTGTTAAGTTACTTACAAAATTACTGTCTTGATAGGCAGCCTGGGGTCTTAAAGGATCCATAAAGGAAGTGAGACTTTAAACTATTTCTTGAAAATGGGTAGAATTTGAATAGACATAAAGGAAAATGTTCCTTGTGGGGATAATATAACAAGGCAAAGGGACTGGGATGCACAAGTAATGTTGGGGACCTGTTGAGTTCAGCCTGGCTGGAATAGTAAAAAGCCAGTTTTGGAAAGATGAGTGGAGATCAGATAGAGGAGGATCTTGCATGCTGGACAAGGAATCTGAATTGCATCCTGAAACCAAAGGGGGACCCTTTGCTGGTTTTGAAGAAAGCCATGGTCTATAAAATCTGTGACTAAGTTAAAGTGAATGAATTGCAAGTTTACAAAGGTACAGCAACTTCTACTTGTGACAGAGACTGGATATAACCCCCTGCCTAAAACAACTAAAGAAAACCAAATGATAAATTGGTTTTCAGATATTGAGCATCAGACATGGCAGGACAATGATCACTAAGAGAGAGGAAACAAATAAGGTCCGCAGGGTGATTGCTCCAGGTTCCTGACTGGAGACAGTTTCTGCGAAGTAGCCCAGGGAGGGGAAACCCAGGTGGAGCCTGAAAGTCTCCCTAAGTTGAAGAGGAAAAAGTTGGGAGTGCATGGCAGCAAGAGCTTACAGGGAAGGATGCGGGGAAGAAGAGAGCTACGGAGACCTGCAGAGGGGTCCCTCAAGTCTTCAGCTGAGTATTAACCAACAAGTGAGTGTGAAGAAACTCCCCACGCCTGGAGAAAGGACCAGCAAAAAAGATTAAGAACAATCTCTGTATCTCAGGTAGGACAGGAAAAGTTTACCTTCCCAAAGGACAAGGTAGAAAATCTGCTTACTTCAGGGGACGTCAGGAAGGATACTCAGAAGGGTCTGCCTGCGTTAGTGGAACAAAACTAGCTATAGAACAGAAGCTGCTCTACTCCTGACTAGCAAAGCTGTAAAGCAAGACATAGAAGAATCAAATTGTTCACAAG